TTGGTGGTGCTGGCGAAGTTGGTGGAGTCACTGGTGAAAAGAACATTCATCACAACGATGGTACACTTGCTCCAGAGCACGCTGATCATCATCATGGAGCCACTGACACACAACATGGTCATCATCATAATGATGAGAAGGGCGTTGTTCGTGGGCACGGCGCGGCAATCTAACTATATGGCCAGACGTCGCGATACATACAAGGATAATTGCTAATAGCATCTCTTCTCTTTCCTTTTGAATACACAATGATGGTCTTTAATTAGTAATACAGTCTTCTATAAGAAGATTCAGTTCTTGAGCAGGGTTTATGGCCTTAGCCAAGATTTATGGATTGCAGCAAGATTTTGGGGGAAAATCTAGGGTGGAAATTGACAAATTCATTGGTTTTCAACAGGACTTGACAGAACTTGACAATCGTGCTCAAAACAAAGTGAGATAGATCTAATCGTGCTCATTTAACGTTTTTTATGCAAAGTCGTAGATGTTTTTGAAATGCATGACTCGTCATGTGATGCGGGGAGCTAAGCCATTCTCAACGTCATGATTATTATTAGCTTCGATCCGCGCATCTCATTCAGATACATAGAACCATGAGAAAAGAGCTTGTAGCCATGAGCTATCGATTAAGCGCATGGCGGATTGAATTTATTCCTTGGACGCGAGAGAGGTAAGATACATGTGCACCTTCGAGGTAAGAGATTTTCATTCATATATCCTTTCTCCATTTCAATCCCAATATTGAATGTTCATTTCTCTTTTTCCTCACCTGCGCCTCGGCAGACACTTTACATATCTTTCAATTCAAAGAGCCAGCTCTGGCAGTGCACGCAGAAATTTATCACTTTATCAAGGCACTTTTCATGTCAAAAGTCTAGAAATGCCACCTAAACGAAAGAGATCCTCGGTGGCGACCACGCCCACTGTCGATGGTGCTTCAACTCAAATCCTCCCTCCAAGTCAATCCACTTCAATCAAGCCGCCACCTGCCAGACCCTCGCGACAATTGTCTCGCAGAGGCAAACCTGATACAAACCCCGAGCACAATACAGATATTATAGATAGCAAGACAGCACTTCGCGCAAGCCCAGATGCTGATGATTCGGGGGAGTCTTTTGACTTAAAGAAAATTAAGGTAGAAACAACGCCGGTAAAGGAGAACGGTGTGGAGAATCCTATCAAGAATGAGGATAGCGATTCGCCACTTTCGGATATTGGTGATGATATTCCAGCGCCCGCACCTGCTAAGAAACAGAAGAAAGCGCCGACGAAGAGCTCAATTGCGGCGAAGAAAGGGTCGGATGAAATAAAAGCTTTTGTAGCGGAACAAGCAGCTAAAAAGGCTACGGTGAAGAATATAAAAAAGGAAGATGGTGAGGATGAATGGGATAAAAGGGTTGGTCCCGACGGAGATGAGGAAGGGCAGATGGAGGATGCTGATGCTATAAAACTGGAAGCGAGGAGACCACCTCCTGTCAATAGTGACTATTTACCTCTACCATGGAAAGGAAGACTAGGATATGTAAGTTTTTACGTCGCCGCACTAGCTTCAAACGACTGACCTTTAAATTCAGGCATGTCTGAATACCTACCTTAGATCCTCAAACCCTCCTGTCTTTACGTCTCGGACCTGCCGTATAGCTTCCATTATCGAACATCGTCATCCTTTGAAAGATCCTTCACAGCCTGAGCATGCAACCAAGAATCGGCCAGATAAATCTAAGCCAGCTTCTATCGAGCGAGGACAGCGATACGTCGAAGAATTGTGCCTGGCAAATGCCCGAGACCTACCAAAAATGTTCCGATGGAATGAGAAATATGGGATCAAATTTATGAGATTGAGCTCAGAAATGTTTCCGTTCGCTAGTCATGCTGAGCATGGCTATAAGCTTGCCCCTTTTGCTAGCGAAGCTCTTGCGGAAGCTGGTAAAGTGGTAGCTGAGTTGGGACATCGAGTTAGCACACATCCCGGACAAGTAAGTTAAAATCATTTTGTCGTGGAATTCAAACACTAACAAGCATGCAAAGTTCACGCAGTTAGGTTCTCCACGTCCAGAGGTCATTGCAAATGCGGTTCGAGACCTTGAGTATCATGATGAAATGCTCGGACTCCTTAAACTGCCAGCTCAAATCGACAGAGATGCAGTTATGATCTTACACATGGGAGGTACATTTGGCGACAAAGCTGCCACACTCGATCGCTTCCGCGAAAATTATGCTAAGCTTTCACCTTCCATCAAACAACGGCTCGTCCTAGAAAACGATGATGTATCATGGACTGTTCATGACCTCCTTCCAATCTGTGAAGAGCTTAATATTCCTCTGTGTCTCGATTTTCACCACCACAACATCATGTTCGATTCTAGTCAAGTTCGTGAAGGTACTAAGGACATCATGGATCTCTTTCCTAGAATTAAAGCTGGATGGACGAAAAAAGGTATGACGCAGAAAATGCATTATAGCGAACAGACTCCCCAGGCCATAACTGGTCGTCAGAGACGAAAACATAACCCTAGACCAGCAACACTTCCGCCCTGCGCAAATGATATGGATTTAATGATTGAAGCGAAGGATAAAGAGCAGGCGGTATTTGAACTAATGAGAACCTTCAAACTACCGGGATACGAAAGATTTAATGATATCGTACCATATGAGAGAGACGATGATAATCGTGTTTTGCCCAAGAAGCCTAAGAAGAAAAAGACCAAGAAGCAAATCGCTGATGAGATTGAAGAATTTGGTCATGAAATTGAAGAAGAGGAGGAACCAATTAAAGATATAATACCAGAAGAAGAAGTTGGCATGGGAGGAAAGGATAACCGTGTATATTGGCCAGTAGGTATGGAAGAATGGTTGACACCAAAGAAGCGAGAAATCAAGAAGAAAGGCTCTGAAGGCGATGAAGAAGAGGAGATGTTCAAGCACCCTACACCTGCAAATTTCGAGGCGAGGAAAAAGATTACTGAGAGGAAGAAGATGCCTTTTGATGAAGGGTTTAAGGAGAAATTGGCGAGGGCGGAGTGTTTAAATGATGTGCTGGAGGTAGTAGAATTGGTCAAGAGTGCACAAGCTAAGGTAGACGAGAAGGCGGAGATTAATGGTTTTGCGGAGGGACTTGGTGGCTCTTCCAAGAAGAGAACGCCTGCTAAGAAGAAGGCAGCACCCGTGCCAGCGAAGAAGAAGAATGCGAAGAAGGTTCAGACGCCTAGTGCTAGCGTTTCGAATGAGGATGAGGATGAGGACGATGATTTGAGTATGCCTGATTTATCGGCTGATGATGAATTGAAGAAACCAGCTATGAAAGCTAAACCGGCAAGACAGAGTGGTAGAGCTGCGGCTAAGAAAAAGAGTTATGTGGAGGTGGATGGGGATGATGATGGAGATGAGGAGTAGATTATATGAGTATATATTTCTGGGTATAGAGTGGATGTGTTCACTGTGTTCTTTTCATTTTGTATATTATCACATCTGTAGCATTATCAAATCTGTATCAAAAGTTCCTAAGCAATTACTCCCGGATCTCTCATTCGCGATTAGTTTTCTTCCTTATTACCTCCTGTATCGTTATTGAAAATATCAAAATGCCATTTCATATTATCTCCTGAATATGTTAAAAGGTGACTAAAAATCGGATATATCTATAATACACTACGGTCCCCCATCCATAAATATACATATTCTTGAAAGGTGCATAAAATGCAGCAAGGAAGTCGGGTCGTGGTATTAAAACCAGCTTTGTAAGGGTATTCTACTCATTCTTATGGATATGGAGGAATTGTTGTAGGTAGGTATGTAATAAGCTTTTTGATGGCTCTTGAAGAAGTTGTTCGACATTAGATGTTCACGATTATTAAGTATTGAGTATTCGTCTGCAGATTTTAGATGTTAGATGTTTGTGGTAGGTAGGTGTTGAATGTGGATGGATTTTCGAGATGAAGAGGTTAGAATGTTAGAATTGAGGTTATCTGGGAGAAATGAGGTTAGGGGGATGGGTAGTAGTTTTGGGATTTATTGGAATTGTTTTTTTTTGAGAAGTTTGAGATAAAGTAGGTGGGAGATGTGTTAGATATCTATGCAGTAAAATCTTTGTGTGTTGTTTGTTTTGTACTTTATTTATTCGATCATTTTGGATTCACTTTCTTGTGGTTTGATTAGGGAGTTGATTGTGTGTATAATAAAGAATGGTATATTTGGTGATTGTTATTTATTCTTGAATAGTGGTATAGAAGTTCAAATAGTTTAAATAGTGAATGCTCTGCCCTCATCTCATCCGCTTCGAAGATTGTTGATGGCTATGATTGGAGAATATTTGAATCAAAATGCTGGTTCGCTATGCGAAACTCATCATGACCTTGACTTTATATGAATTTTAATGATGGATGACGTTGAGTGACCACAAGACACGCCTCATAATCTCTCTGTATGGACGCTTTAGATGTTTGTATATGGCAATCGTGCTAGAGTACTTGCCATGTTCTGTGAAAACAGAGAGCATGATCAAGGGGTCACTATTCTAGTAGTAGGATAGTCTTCGCACATATATAATCATTGACATGCTGATTACCCAAAAAGTAATATAGCTCCGCGTCGCCTTGACACTTCTTATCGTCCTTGGAGATATTGATCGTTCTTCCCATTGTAAGCATGATTACTTCAAACTACATGTGCACTGTATCATCTCTACATTTGCCTTCACATAAACGACAGACAACTATGCAAATGCTAACAGCAATACTCATCACTGTCATATATATCTTCGACAGCCGAAGCGTATTATAGCAGAGATTTCCGTCCACCTCTATCGCTGTCTAAAAACGAACGACGTGAATGATAGAAAGCATGAAGGTTCATGCCGACCACATCACTACCTTCTCATCAATGTCCAAAGAAAGTCTTGTTCAAGAACTAGATCGTAGCCTTCCCCAAAAGAAATATCCTATCAGCCCGCTCCCACATCCTCAAAAAAGTATTCACTCCCCGAAGAATGCAGAAGCAATAAATGAACAGAGGGGGATTCGAACCCCCGCGGGCTAAGCCCATGAGAATGCTAGTTGATTTTCCATCAACCAAGCTATTGAGCTTGAGTCACACGCCATAACCACTCGGCCATCTGTCCTATGTACTTGTGATCCTAGAGCGAGTACATAGTGGTTCAAGACCCTCCTATTTTTCCATGCGTAATGAACGAATAGCAAAGCCGTATTTAGAAAAACTTGAGAAAGAAAAAAAATAGTGTCGGAATATCCACAAAAGCTAGATGGATCCCAGCGGGGCATTCTGCACTAGAGGAATGGTAATGAATACTGTTAGTTAGGGCTTTGAGGGAAAAAGAAGAATATTAGGAAACGCATATGTTCTTTAGGGTGGATGGAGCCTGAGAGCAAAAAGTGCAAAAAGTCATGTTCTTATGAAGGGAATTGAGCCCAACGGGGGGGTCGAACCCCCAACCTTGTGATTAAGAGTCACACGCTCTACCGATTGAGCTAGCCGGGCAGGCTATGATAGATGTTTGTTGATATGGCAGATGTAAATCAAAAAATTGTTGGTAAATTGCTAAAGATGAGGGATGAAAAATCTTTAAAGAGTTTTCGAGGAGGGTTTGAGGATAAGCGAGGGGGTGTGGTGTTGGTGGGGAGCACGGACCATCAATCATTCATAGTAGATTGTAGGTTTATACAAAGTGGAATTTGAGCTGTTGATTAAGAATGGTTATTTGCATAAAGTCACGATAAAAGATTTAACGTTCAGGATTGAACAGTAATGATTCTTTAACCACCGTTTTCACCAAGAGTATGACAACCTGCAGAAGCTTAGATACCTTCCCAGGAGACAAATGCTTGGATATCGTTAAGGCGAACAGCCACGGCAAAATGGCTTACTTACATGAGATTGTTTTTAAGAAGAAAGCAGTAAAAGCTTGATGGCCAAACCCAAAATTTGACAAAAAACATACAACAGTAGGGATTCGCTGGTGGTCACCCACCCAACTACTAATCTACCGATCTGAGGCTTGTGTATGGCAGAGCGGACGGGATGCCCAATTCTCATCAGTCTATGGTCGTATGTGACAGAAACAGCACAACATGCAAATATATTCAACCATTTACTGATGCCCACAGGTTTCATTGAATGTTGAGTCGTATGGCTGACATTGTGGCATCGTAGGATTCTTATGTATTTTCGTACTGGCCCTGTTAATGCTACATAACATAATTCCACCGTTACATTTAATAATTGTGGCGCTCGTATCTGTCGGAATTTATTAAGAAATCCATTGTCCAGGCTCAGCCAGGTTGTTTACAGGAATGGTAGATTTGATAATATAAATCGTGGTCGGTACCCCTGTTTGATGAAATTTGGCCGTTGAAATCGGCTTCATTAATAAACGGCTTCCATTTTCGAACACATATATTCTCGAACAACATATGAATCTATCTCTTCGCTATCATGTTTCTAGCTTTTCTTTCCGGGTGATTTTGGAGTATGGGGAGAGCTTCACATTTGTTACTGTATTGTAACATTTTCAGATGAACTTCTGATGGCAGCTTCCATGACATTGATGCTGCTTAAATGAATCATGATAATCGTCAAAGCATAATCTGAGGCTTTATGCAAAACATCTCAAGTTATATATGTTGTGATCTTACGAACATGCTTTTCTCTGAATGAGTTTATGATCTACTCCACAATTTCTACTTTGACAAAGAAATTGGTTCGTCCACTCCGGAGTAGACCTTAATTTATCATAGGTTTCTCATTATTGGAATCTCGTGAATTTTCCAGGGACCTGGACTTTCCCCTTCCAATACAATGATCAGACATGTTCAGTATCACCATCGGGATTTTTGAAAGCACAAGCACCGGATCCACGTTATCATCAAATACTCCGTCCGGGAAATACAAACCAGAAATAATTCCAAGTGTCTCTGTTTTCGGTGTCAGAGATTTTAAACGCGGAATTTTTCGAATCGATTTCTTTTCTCACCATATCATTCCTTCATCATTTTTGAAGGATACTTTAAGCCGTTATAAAGAAAAGAGTCATGTTTCTATTTTCAAATCATCTGGCGATGGATGGTTATAGCAGTGTACGTAGTACTTGTATTATCCGTCTCTCTCGTCCCTGAATCATAACCAACCAAGCTTCGTAAGTCCCTCTTAAACTACTATTCTTGTTACAAACTAAGGAATGCAAGCGAGAAAAGACAACTTAATGGAGAACTCCACAGCCCCCATCTTTAACACTTAACCAATCATTTTAACAAATTCACGAAACGGTACCTGAATGTGGATATCTTTCTAGAAAGCTTCTCATCCAATAATTATCAAGAATCATGGAAATTTCCTAAAGAAAGTGGTAATGGTGGCTCAGTCAATCTTTACCCCTGAGCTAAAGCTTGTCAGTTTCGGCTTGGTCCCCAAGCTTTTCTTCTCCTGCTTGGTCTAACTTCCACACGGCCCCACTAGGACCGCTCATCCTTGGCGAACCCCTGGTGATTCCAGACTCAATTCCGAGCAACTAATCTTTTTTCTTTCTCGACAGCAAGATCCCAATGGCTCATCCCCTGTTCATAGAGATATTCCGATAGCCGTGTCGATTCTAATGTCTTCATACCACGCACGCCTCTTTACTTTATCTCTTTTCATACAATCGTTCATATCTGTAATACGCACATTTTATACACCCAAAAATCATTGCCATATTCACCAACCTTCATTTTATCTCTCACACTCGCTCTCTACTTCAATCAATCTTGAATATTTGCACCTGTTAAATAACGACTAGCTTCTGCAGCTTTGACCATACTTCTATTCGTTCCAGGTAGACCCTAGGCCATATTATTGCTATACAGCTTTTCCACCTACTCTCTAGTCGAGGCCCCAAACCTTCGACACCTAATCATAGAAACAGCTCAACATACAATTGGAATATCATTCCACTATAATATAATATATATCGACGTCGAATAGAGAATCATTCTGAGTTAGGAGATTTGGGATTTCCGGCGGTATACAGAGGCGGTTTTCCGCAGTGCCAATCCACACCGTCGCCATGATGTTACGGCCAATCTCAACCTTTTCAACTCTTTCCTTAATCTTCTTGGGAGCTCTGCCGGGCAGAGTTCTCGCAGGCCAAACTCTCACGACAACAGGCTACACATCATGTCTGGCCGGCTCGACTGTCTCGGTGCAGAAAATGGCCGTTACGTACGATAATGACGCGAAGACTGTCACCTTCGATGTGGCCGGAACGAGTACCCAGTCTCAAAATGTCAGCGCCGAGATCAGTGTTACTGCGTATGGAATTTCAGTCTACTCAAACTCCTTCAACCCATGTGATTCTTCTACATTCATACAGCAATTATGTCCGAGTAAGTTTTGTCTCCTTTTATCAAGTCAGAAGAACGATCAAAACTAAACCTCTCCTGATAGTCCCTGTGGGAGTTTTTGCTGCCTCTGGAACACAAGCCATTCCAGATAAATATGCCTCGATGATTCCCGCGATCGCTTTCTCTGTACCCGATATTTCCGCCGTAGCTACGATCGAACTCAAGGAGTTGAATACTTTAGTCGAGGTTGCTTGCGTGCAAGCAGATGTCACCAACGGAAAGACCACCGCCGTCGCTGCCGTATCCTATGTTGCGGCGGCCGTAGCTGGAGCTGCTGCTATAGTTGGTGGAGTTTCTGCACTCGGTGCTGCAGCCAGTGGAGCCAGTGGAGCAGGCGCAGCTGCATCTAGTCCTTCGTTTATGGAATGTATGGCTTGGTTTCAGGGCATGGCTATGAATGGAATGATGTCCGTCAAGTATCCTCCGGTTTATCGACAATTCACCAAGAACTTTGGGTTCAGCACTGGACTTATCCCTTGGACCGCCATGCAGCAATCGATTGATAGTTTCCGAGCTGCTACTGGAGGTAATTTGACTGGGGATAGCGTTACGTATTTGAAAAATGCTACGTTGGTATTTGCGGATGGATCAACTGATACTCCTAAACGATCATTATTCTCGGACTCTGTCCTCTACGCTCGAGATGTTGTGACGTCAGTCAATGGAACAAGTACTTCTAGTGGCACTGCGGTAACGGCCACTTTCGAAGAAAAAGTTGCAGGAATCAAAGCCTACGTCGAAGAACTTTCCGTTCCCCAAGCCAACACTTTCATGACCGTTCTCCTTATCGTTGCATGTGTCATCGCCGCCATTGTCGTCGCAGTCCTCGCTTTCAAGGTGCTCCTCGAGACCTGGGCTCTCTTTGCATCTTTCCCCACAAGTCTCACTGGATTCCGAAAACATTACTGGCAAACCATGGCGCGTCTCACCGTACAATTGATCCTCGCTCTCTACGGTTCATGGGTTCTTTACTGTATATTTCAATTCACCAATGGAGATTCCTGGGCCGCCAAAACACTCGCTGCTGTAACATTAACTATCTTCACTGCTGTTCTTGTATTTTTCGCTTACAAGATTTCCTCGGCGGCAAAGATTCTCAAGGAGAGAGATGGAGATGTATCGGGATTATATGAGAAGAAGGATAATTGGCTCAAATACAGCATGTTTTACGAAAACTACAAGAAGGATTTCTGGTGGTTGTTCGTTCCAGCTATCATTTACATGTTTGCAAAAGGATGTGTATTAGCTGCAGGCGACGGACACGGTCTCACTCAAACGGTTGCCCAACTCATCATTGAATGTCTCAGTAAGTACTTCAATCCAACATCATAAGCCCCTCATTCTAACCCGTGCACAGTGCTCTCCCTTCTCCTCTGGAGTCGTCCATATGAGAGAAAATCCGCAAACGTCATCAACATGTTCGTCCAAGTCGTCCGTGTCCTCTCCGTAATATGTATCCTCGTCTTCGTCGAAGAACTCGGCATTGCCGAAACCACCCAAACAGTCACCGGTGTCGTCCTCATCGCCATCCAATCAGTTCTCACCGGTACCCTCGCCATCCTCATTGGCGTAAACGCCGTCATCTCCATTATCAAACAAAACCCCCATCGTAAACGTCGCAAGGAAGCCGGTAAGTCCCCTTCCCTCCCAAAAATAAAACTCAAACTAACCCCCCACAGAAAAACTCAACCGCGACCTCGACAACCTCACTCCCCTCGACGCCCGC